TTGGCTCAAGAATCCTCAGATGTTCGAATTTGACAACAGTTCTGGTAATGTCTTTATCTCACTACTGTTGGATTATAGGAATCTCTCTGTACATTTGGCTTTTTAATGGATCTTATGCTATATTGGATCCACCTTTGTCTTTTGTTTGACTTGCACAAAGTTGTAACAAGGACAAAGGCTTTTGTACAAGGAAAGCTATTGAATGACCAGTAAATTAGGGCTTCTTTGATGCGAGTGAGAGAAGCACTGTGATTAAGTCTAATGAGGAAATTTGGTGTATTGGTTTAGTTTACATATGGATTTAACTTGAACTGTTTACTCTTTTGGTTAAATGGTTCTTTTTATTGTCAGATCTCATTCTTATTACCTTAAACTGTTTTTTCCTGATTCATTTGATGTTTTACAGGTAGAGGAACTGCTGAAGTTGTTGATGCAAGCTTTACGCCTCATGTGCTTACAGTAAATGCTGGCGAGGTATGTCCTCGATGATTCTCTTTACTTGAAACATTCTGAATATTTGTGAGGAAAAAAGTCAGTATAGCTAAGCTTAGTCGTCGTTATATGCTATCACTATGATGATTCACCCAGCTTATAAATCTTGACAGATTCTTGGAGATTTCTAACTCTTTTTGGCCCGCTGATTCTAACAGGACGTGACGATGAAGATAATGACATTCTCTCAACAAGGCTCTCGTGCTATCTGCATTCTTTCTGCAAACGGTCCCATTTCCAATGTTACACTTCGTCAATCTACGACATCTGGTGGTACCCTCACTTATGAGGTCTGTTCTTTCTCTTTTCAGTATCTCTTAGATTTCTTTCATCCTTTTCCTTCTTTTTACTATATTCAATGTACAATGTGTTGTCAGGGTCATTTTGAGATTCTCTCTTTGACTGGCTCGTTTATACCAAATGAGAGTGGAGGAACCCGAAGCAGAGCTGGGGGGATGAGTGTTTCTCTTGCAGGACCAGACGGTCGTGTCTTTGGTGGTGGACTTGCTGGTCTCTTTATAGCTGCTGGTCCTGTCCAGGTAATAACTTAGAACATGACGTGTTGATCTCTCTAATAGATTCGATTTTTTTCTTTGTTTTAAGCATTGTTGTTTTCGTGGTCAATATATATTTTTCAGGTAATGGTAGGGAGTTTTATAGCTGGTCAGGAAGATTCA